CCCCGCCTAGGCGGGGTGGTCAAAGAGCCAGACACCGAGTTCATGTCAGAAACAGCCTCTGTTCCCCATAACCTAGAACCCCTGCAGGACAGTTTTTTTATAAGGTGACTGTTGAAATGAGAAACTGGGGCCAGTGAGATGGCTCAGTGGGTGAAAATGCTCGCCATGCATGACTTAAGACCTCAGAATCCAAGGTGGAAGGAGAGAATCTACTCCTGCAAGTAGTGCTCTGATCTGCACATATGGGACATATATGTACCTGCACGGGTGATCACACACACACACACACACACACACACACACACACACACACACACACCATGTACACCATAACAATATGAACACTTTTAAAAAGAGAGAAACTGGAACTCTTAAGGGAGTGAGTTAGGAGAGTATTGGTGATTGAGTTTTTTACTGTATCTGTAAAACTGCATACAAAGCATGTTGAATACAAGAGAAGAATGCAGTAACTGACAGGGTAGATTTCTAATTAGGTCAGCTATTGTGAGAGAGAAGGAAGCCCTAGGCATAGCATTAATACTACAGGGCAGCTCATCCTGAGATTCTCTCAGTTTGCCTTCTTGGTTTTGGTTGTTTTGAGACAGGGTGTCACTATGTAGCTCTGAGAAACCTGTAGCTTGCTGTGTATACCAAGCTGGCCTCGAACTCACAAAGATCACCTGCCTGTGCTACCACACTTGGCTTGACATTCTTGGTAAAGAAATTTCAGGTCAGCAGGCACATGAATCCTATTTGCTCATCTGGCTAAGAATAAGATTAAGAATTATTCCTGTACTGGGATTATTTATTTGATCAAGAGTTAACTGGCATCTGGGTATAGTGGTGTGTGCCTATAGTCTGAGGCAATTTACTATCTCAAAATAAAGTTTAAAAGATTTGGAATGATCTTTGGTAGTTGAGCACTTGCCTAGCATATGCCAGGTATTGGGTTTGCTCTTCAGTACCAAAAAATGTAAAAGGATTGATGGTTATAAATATAATGTATTGATTTTCTCCATGCAATTTATATTCTATAAAGGTTGTTTTAAAAGTTAAATTTAGATTCTAGTGCCTTAAAATACGACATTCAGAAGGCACTTTCAGGTAAAGATGGGGGAAGGACCCCAATTTCTGATAATGACAATTTCATTATCAGCCACTCATGTAATGTTTCAGTTCAGCTCCCTAATAATAGTTTACAGTTTGTATAATATGTCAGTTTGCTTTAAAAAAAAATAAAGCATGGGTGGAAGATTGTTGAGTGTAATAAATTATGACATGATGTTCAAACCTTGGGCATATCTGTTACTTGGGCTAAATTTTAATTTTGTATAATTAATATTTTCAACTGTAGCTTAAGTTAATTAACTTTTGCTTTCAGTTTGATACGTCATTTGAAAGACTTAATTGAGCTGCTTTTCAGCATAAATTTATATTCCTGTTCAGACGAACCATGGAAAATTAGGAGTAGTTTAAAACTTACCCTTTTAGTATTTTTGAATAATTAGTTTTATTAAAACAAATCTCATTAAAGACATTTAAAGTGAAAGTTGTGCAGTGGTAGAAAAGGGTTTACATCCATTTACTGTTGTTGAATCTGCTCTGGATTAACCCCAGTTCTACTTGGGCTGCAAACTACAAATACTGCAACTAATTATGCTGCAGTGGCCAGGACTGCCCTCGTACTGGGGGTTTGTTCTTTCTCACTACACAGGCAGAAGACAAACCCTGAGAGGAAAATGAGGTGGCATGGAAACCTGCAGTGTGACTCACTAGCTTGAAAAACGCAGGCATGGTTGTGGTCTGGGGCCTTGGAATCTGGAATTGCTATAATTTGTTCCTGAATGGGATTTAAATTTCAGAGTCTGAGAGAAAATTAACTCACACAAATATAGGTTGCTTTTCTGGGACCAGGGGTCAAGAGCTGAGGTAGAAATTAGTGTCTGGAGAGTAACAGAAGTCCCTCTGCCCCTTGCCAGTGATAAAAAGAGGAACCCAAAAGCAACTCAGAAAACCAGAATGGCTGGTCAGGCACAAAGATGGCACTTTGTACATCTTTGATCACAGTGCTCAGGAGGTTGAGGCAGAAGCATCACACTGGCAAAGCCAGGTTAGTGAGGCCTTGTCTCTAAATAAATGATTAGATGATAGATAGATAGATAGATAGATAGATAGATAGATAGATAGATAGATAGATAGATAGATAGATAGATAGATAGAGAAAGGCAGATAAGGAGGTAAGCATAGAGAGAAATTGCACTGGGGATATGGTTTAATGCTAAAACACCTTAGGTTCAATCCCCAGCATCAAAATAATAATAATAATAATAATCTTTAAGTAGTATTAATTTTTTTATAATTATTATCATCATCATCACTGTTATTAATAGAAATCTTCTGTGGAGAGAAATCTTTCTTTTTCTTCTTTGTGTGTGCCAAGGCAAAGTTCTGAACATCTGAGAGCCTCAGACTCTGAGACTGCAAAAGAGGGTTAAGGTTAATGTAGATATTTAGAATGACAAGAAACTGTATCAGTGGAGATAATTCAGTTTCAAAGAACAGAAATTAGTTCAAACTATTGACTTTGTCACTTTCGGTGACTATAACAAATTCTGAGGTAGCTAAGGTCTCTCTCTTTCTCTCCCTCTCTCCCCCCCCCCTCTGTCTCACATACACCTCACAGTTCTGTAAGCTGGGAAGCCTGAAATAGTAGCACTAGACTCATGTGAAGCCTCCTTCCTGGTCAGCAGACTGCCTCCTCACTGCTGTATCCTCACATAGTAGAGAGACTTTCTTCTTGTCTCCTATTATCCTCCCACAAGCCTCCTGCCATAGCCCAGGCTGACCTCAAACTCACAGTCCTCCTGCATCCATCTTGCCAGTGCTGGGATTATAGGAATAAACTACCACACCCAGTCAGGTCTTGTAATGATACAATCCCATTGATTAGTGCTCTAATTTCGACACAGATTGTACATGAGTGAACGTGAGTATGTGTCTACATATGTGTATAGAAGTGAGAGAACAGCTTATGGGAAGCTATTCTCACTTTTCACCACATGGATCCCAGGTATCAAACTCACAACTTCAGGTTTGGCTGCAAGTACTCACTAAGCCATTGGTCCTGGGGTTACATCATTTTTAAAGCCAGAAAAAAGGCTTTGCCATGGCCTTTTGGGTTGTTTTTGTTTTCCTTCTTTTGTGTAGAGCTCTCAGTTTTCCTTTTAGATTTAATCTAGCAAAGTCAGGTTCTCCCATGTCTTGAGTTGCTTGCTGTGTTTCATGTGAGCAGCTGCCCCCACAGTCAAGGCCACAGTTGCTGGTGCTGCAGAAAGCAGCAGCGGCAGCAGCCGTGGCACCGTTCTGTCAGAGCTTTTCACATTACTCTTGGAACCTTTGCCTGATGACTCAGTTGAAGAAGTTGTCTTTTAGTTTGGTGTCCAGCTGTGTGCTCAGCAGTCAGTATTTAGTGCTTGAGGGGGCCTGAGTTTAATCTCCAGCACCAAGAAGGAAAAGCAGGAAAGCAGAAGGGGAAAGGAAGGAAGCGGTGTCTTTCTGTCTGCTCATGTCTCTCTGTGTGTGCATCTCTCTGTGTATATGAAAAATAAAACCATGAAAGTATTAGTACATTTGTATTAGTATGTTAATATTGGAAATCTGAGGTACAAGCATGTTATTAAATGTGTGTACATTAAAGTTTAACAGCAGAAAAGGTGAGCGTCTGAATATATGAAGGGAGAATTCCTTCAGGTTTCAAGAGCACCACCCATGAACTGTGACAGCTTTTCTTCTTATAGTTCTCAGGACAACTTTGGAGCAGCTGCTTACATTCCTTCAGAGGCTAGGAACGCAAGTCGCAGATAACTGGGAGTGTGGGAGTGCATTTCTCTGAGACTAAGGATCTTGGCGAAGAATTAAGAACAAACCCTGTCAGAATAAGAGACAGAGCACCACAGTAGCCGGAAAGCCTTTGCTGCTCCTCCTAGCTGTGTGGAAGGACTGGCTTCTTTTAAGACAGTTAAGAGTGTTCTGATTCCATCCTGTCCTTTCAAGTGTTTCTTTCCCGTTACTTTCTCATTATAATCGCTGTGATCAGACAGTGTTTTCAAAGAAATGTCAATTACATCTTCAGATTCAGCGTTACAGAGACATCGAGAGCAAATGGACAAAGCACCAAATTCAAAAGACTCATCCTGCTGAGTATCGTTGAGTATACTGTACCATCCCTAAGATGGCAGAAGTTATCATGGCCACAGCTACATAGGGATAACATAAGAGTACAGGTCATTAGTTGCTTATCAAACAAAAGTGTATGGCTGGTATAAGAGAATAGTTGTAGTTATTGTTATATCAGTGAGAAGATCTGAAATGAAAGACTTTAGATCTACTGTTTTATCAGTTTAGGTGACTTGAGTCAGATTATAGTTCCAGAACATTTTGGACATGAGCAGATGACTCATTGGTTGTCTACTCTAAGGTATCCTATATAATTAGTTGGTCTAAAGTCAACTTAAAACTGGTATGTACTATTTATCTCCTGGGTAACAAAATTGATTCTGTGTAATAACCATGATCCGCTTTGCAGCACTGTGTTTGATGGGCCGTCCAGAGTTCTGTATGTACTATAGTTTGGTCTCTTTTTCTACATCCTCTAGGAAGCTGGAAAAGCCATAGAAAATTAAATACTTAGCATAAAACTTTGTATTGAGCTCAGCTACTGTTCTTATAAAGTTTAGCAACAGGTTAAGGCATTTAGTCCTTTATTAACTGTTGCCACAGCTGAATTTAGGAGACATTTCATAGTTGTTTAGAATTACTTTGTGAATCTCTAGTACAAAGAATATTGGGACTTATACCTTTAGTGAAGTCTATGCACACCCGTAAAAGTGAAGGCTTATTGCTTAATTCCAAGTGTATACATGTATACCTTTATGTATGTATGGTTATTCATTGTGTAAAATACAGTTGTATTTTTACAAGTATATTTTTTTCCCAAACAGATAAACAATCAGATCCTTTATGGAAGAAGTCATCAAAATGCATCTGCCATTATTAAGACTGCTCCAACCAGGGTCAAACTGGTTTTTATTAGGTAAGGCAAATAAGCCTGGTTTTGTAAGTGTACAATCTCCTCTTTCGAGACTATTGTTGGCATTGGTATCTTATATTTGCTTTGTCTAACGAAGTCACTATGTTCTAAGACTACCCTTTCCTTCTCTGTCACTTTAAGAAAACTGTGGGCTGACTCTAGGATTTTTCTTGTTTTTTTTTCATGATTTATAACATGGAATTATAGTTGAGTTTACTATTGTCTGTATTTCAGCTTGTAGAAGTATCTGCATGCTTATAGCTGTAAAGATATAATGGAGCCCTCTCACTAATGGCACCGTGGTTTGGTATTTATGGATTCATTATTGTCTTCTTGAAAGAACCAACAATTAGAGAACCCAGAAAAGTGTAGGAGTGCCGGCGCGGGCTGTGGGTATATTGAAGTGGTAGAGCACTTGCTAGGATGCGTTGCTAGATCCTGGCTTCACCCCAGCACCAGGCATGGTAGTATGCACCTGTAATCCCAGCAACTGGCAGGGCTTGGGAGGTCAAAAGTGCGAGGTCATACTTGTGAACATTAGAGAGTTGGAGGCCAGCCTGGTCTGCACGAGACGTTGTCATTAAGGGGGGAAAAGTGCTGGTGAGATGTGGTGTGTGGGATGCCACACTCGGCCTACCTCACCAACCGGCTGACTGAGCTCCAACAGTGCTTGTCAATAAGAGACAGGAGTCTCTACATCTTTTAGCCAGTTTTCTAAATGAGCAAGAGCTGGACTTGTCTAAGTCTCTGTTATTTAACGGGAATGATACGAAGTTTGAGTAATTTGTAGGCCATAACCATGTTTGTTAAGTATTGTTAAGTGTCTTTTACTCCTATCATTCCATTTCCATTTTTTAAATGGACACCACATCTCTTTCATGGTTTTGTTTCAATTTTTTTAAATAATGGGCTGTGAAGATGACTCGGTAGTTAAAAGCATTGTCTGCTCTTGCAGAGGACCCAGGTTCAATTCCAGCGCCTATGTGGTAGCTCACGACACCTGTAACTTTCGTTCCAGAGGATCCAGTGCCCCTTTCCTGACTTCATAGGCACCTGGTGTGCACACGGTACACACGCATGCAGACATGCACATAAGTAAACCAATTTTTTTCAAATTTTGAATAATCAATATGCAGTTCAGTGGTAGAGCACTTGTCTAGAATAATCAAGGCCCTGGGTTTCATCCTCAACACTGGAAAACAAACATGTAAAGTGATCAATCAGAAGTGTAGGGTAAAAGCTCAAAGAATGCCCACTGCCTTTTTATGATGAAAATAATTATTATTTTTTTCCCTTTCTTGCTATTTACCATCAGTGAGACCTCTCCTTGCTGAGAACACTGGTACTCGAGGGTAGTTTTGTTAGCAGGTTGGGCAGCTGAACATCCTTCCTGCAATGCTTTCATTCTCATTGGGGTGTCTTTGGTCTTCCAGTTGTTAAGGCGCTTCAGATGAGAGTTTGCTTATGATAACTTGAGCAGATTTGAAATAAGATAAGTCACTGAAAAGGATATGCTGTCCATTGAGAGAAATCCGCAAAGGTCACAGGTTCATGTTTAAGACTACATACAAGGTTGTGTGAGATTCAGATTTGTGTGTACCTCTGTGATTTTGAAATTGTTCGTGTGTCCCACAGGATTCATATGTTGGAAGGTTTGGTTTTCAGTGTGGTCATATAAAGAGTGGGAACTTTGAGAGAGGCACTTAAAAGTTGGTCAGTCAGTGGGGATTGCCCTTAAAATACTAAGGCACTTTTCATGGATTGAGAGTTAGTTTTCTTGGAACTGGGTTCTCATAACACTATAAGCTTCCAGCTAGAGAAAGGACTCAGGCAGAACTGCCCTTCCAGGGGACCTGAATTTGGTTCTTAATTCTCACATCTCGCCATTCACAATCTGCTGTGATTTCAGCACCAGAAAGATCTGATGCCTCTGGCCTCCTTGGGTACCAGTATTCATGTGAACACACTCACACTTAAAATATAATTAAAAAAATTAAACCAAAAAAAAGATGCACCTGGGATGGAGTTGTAGCTTTGTAGAGAGCTTGCCTCATGGTAATGCCTGAGACTCTCGGTCCCATCCTCAGCACCGCAGAGATTAAAACGGACAAAGAAAACAAATGAGCCTCATCCCAGAATCACCCTCTGGCTTCCTGTCTTTCCGTGTTGCCTCTCCCTCTCTTACAAACTGCCACAGTGATGTCACCAGCTGCACACAGCTTGCACAATGCGGTTTGGATGTTCAGTGTTTTCAAAGCATGAGCTAGCCCTCTTCAGAGAAGCTGCCTCTTGCAGTAGATGGGAACTAACATAAAGACCCCCACACTGGGCAGTATACAGAGAATTAAGACTTTGGAGCACTCTGCTATAAATGGGATGTGTTCATCAAAACTCTCCCCTCAAGACTCTGCCATCCATTCGGAAGGAGAATCAGGAAGATTGTAAGAGCCGGGCAATGGGTGAGGTGACTCCAAGGAAGCGATGTCAACAAGGTTGATGTACATGTGAGCTCAGAGTGGCTGGCATCATGCACAGGTTCAAGCCAGAGGTCCCAGTACTGAGAAGAGGAAAGGCACATGTGTTCTCACCCCTAACTAAGAGGCTGTCTGCAGTTGACCCCCACTGACAGGAAAAATCGTTTTCTCTAATAGAGTATCATTGAGTATTTCAGTTGTGCTTCAGGGCAGACCACATGCCCAGGGGTAGTTGGCCAATACAAAATGAGCTCAATGTACTTTTCTAGGTTTCTTGTTGAATTTTGCTTTGTTTCAGTATTTTTTTGTCTTATTGGTCTTTTGTTTATCTATTTTGATTTTTCTGTTAAAGGCTGGTATTTCTTAGTTTTTGCTTATGTTCATTTTTTAAGAGAGAGGAAAAGAACACAAATTTGGGTGGGTTAGAGAGGATCTGGGAGTAACTGAAGAAAGGGAAAACACAATCAAAATATATTGTATGAAAAAATTTTCAAATAAAAAGTGATGAGCTGAAAAATGTCCTTTTTTTCTAAGCTACCCAGCCTTTGATATTTTATTTTGTTTGTTATATATCTATTTGTATTTGTATTTTATTATAGCAGCAAACAAAATCACTTGGCTCTCTTTGCTTAGTGCATGGCATTGGCTGCAGTTACAAGTTCTGTTATTAACAGTACCATTACTGCTTCAGTGATGGAGGGGCCTTTATTGCCAGTTCTCGGCCTCCTATCTTAAAGGAGCAGAGAGCAAATAGATTTAGGTCCAACAGAAATAATTTAATGCAGTAAAGTATTTGGAAGTCAGAACCTTTTTTTCTGCAAAGAAAGATAAGGCAATGTGGAGCTCATCACAGGAGACAGAGCTGTGGAGAGTCTCAAGAGCAATGAGGACCTGTCAGCTCAGTGTTCTGATAGTTCCAAGGTTTTTGTTGTTTGTTTGTTTGTTTGTTTGTTTGTTTGGATGGATGGTTGGTTGGTTGCCTGGTTGGTTGGTTGATTTTATTTTGTGTTTTTAGAGCAGGGTGAATCAAATGAGAATTTGCTGTGTCAGTGGTGTGTGCAATATTGAGGAGGCTGCTGAATGTTTATTTGCTAAGGTGATATTAAGCAATTTAGAAGTTAGTGTACATTGAAGTGATTAATCTGATAAGAAACTGTTGTGCTTCTTTGATACTGTTATTAAAATAAATACTTAAGTTGGGTGGCTTATAAACTACAGAGATTTACTTTTTCAATCCTGAGGGATGAAGCCAGGTGCCAGCAGGTTTGGCGTCTGGTGAGGGGCTGATTCCTGTCTCTTACTAGTTCTCTACAAGACAAAACAGCTTCCTTTTGCCTGTTTTATAAGAGCAGGAATCCCAGGAGAGCTCTGCCTCCATGAGCAGAACTGAGCCTTTGTGAGCAAATCTCCCCTAGAAGATTCCCCCGACTAACACTGTTGCCTTATCGATTAAGTTTCAGCATATAAGCTTGGGACACAAATGTTTAGATTGTAGCTTGTACTGTTCTTAAAGGTCATTAAGTTATATAGTGCCCAGCATCTGATGGACAAAAATGTTAATAAATAAATCTCTTTTTATTATCACAGAGCAGTTCTAGTGAAAATCATAGTAAATTATTTTTGTGTGAATTTAAATATATGCATTATGTAATTTAAAATTCTTTGTGTCTAAGTTCAGCTTCTTAAAATTTTCCCAGGTTAGTAAATTTAAAAGATTTTTCTAGAAGCCAGGCGTGGTGGCACACATCTGTAATCCCAGCACTTAGGAGGCAGAGGCAGGCAGATCTCTGTGAGTTCAAGGCCAGCCTGGTCTACAGAGTGAGTCTAGGACAGCCAGGGCTACACAGAGAAACCCTATCTCAAAAAAACAAAATCAACAACAACAAAAAGGGAGTGGTTGGGAGCTTGCCCCGCATGTATGTGGAGGGCTCTGATTTTAGTCTTAACACTGCCAAAAGTGGGGGAACACACACACACACACACACACACACACGAATAGGTCTGTAGTAGGAAGAAAGTTGTAGGAGTGATTGTATGCAATCTCTTGTCATACCCGCTTTGAAAGTTGCAGGAAAATGAGCTTCAACTGAACCAGGAGAGATGTGCGTGGTACTGACAGGCAGGTTTTATTGGGCTGAGCTGATAGATACCTGGTATGTGCAGACAATGAATTAAGTCTTCATTTGCCCAAAGAGAAGGAATTACTGTCCTGAATAATCTGCCTCCTCCAGAGCCTGCTGAAAATTAGAAGAAGAAACCTTGGGTCCATCATGCCAGGACTTGGAACCCAGGTGTTTACACTAGCTGTGTGGGCTTTGTCAGTTTCCTGGTCTAAATGGAGGTGGCTGTGTTGTAGTAAATTTAAAAAAGAGCTGTTGGGCTATATGAAGTTTATTATTAGCCCTAAGATTATCGTGGCAGTATTATTTAACCCGCTATTATTTAACCCGCTATCACAAATAATAAGACACAGACACCTGTTAGGTTTATAATTGCCTTATTTACCGTAGGCTGGACAGATATTTCACT